GCGGCGTCGTCGGGATCACGGGGAAGACGGACTTTTTCTTCGGCGCGGCGCCCGTGTAGAGGAGCGGGTTCCAGTCTTTGAAGGGCCCCGCGTCGTCGTAGCTCCACTTGAGCTTCAGCTTCACGAAGCCGACGGCGCCGCGCCGCTCCCACGCGGCGTCGCTCAGCGGGAACCAGCCCTCGAGCACGCCGGGTCCGGCCCGCTCGACGTCGTAGGCGTGGCACGCGCGCGGGTCCATCGCGAGCCACTTGGCCGTGATGATCCACTGGCCGAGCAGCTTGTCGTGCAGGAACAGCTCCTCGTCGTGGACCATGACGTGGATCACCGTCGACGGGTCCTTGAGCCGGATGGGCGTGAGCTCCTCGTCCCAGCGCGGGTCGACGTTCTTCATGACCGTCGACGTGCGCCGCGTCTCGCCCCGGCAGCGCACGGTCACGACGGGGTCGCAGGTGCCCGCCCCGCCCGTCAGCGCCCGCGCGGCCACGACGACGACGTCGAGGCGGTTCGGCGGCTCCGCGCCGGGCGTCTTCCGCGGGAGCCGCGCCAACGTCGCCTTGCGTCGCATCTCGGCCTCGGCGAAGCGCCTCGTCACCGCGTTCACGGAGAACTCGCCCTTGTGGGTCTCGAAGGCGATGGCCGCGCCGCGCGCCTCGAACTCGTCGACGTAGATCGTGCCGAGCATGTGCTCGTTGCGGCGCGTCCCGCTCCGCGGATCGGCGACGGGCGCGAGCGCGCCGCCGCCGCGCAGCGGCAGGTTCTGGGCGCTGGGAAAGGGGCTCCAGACGCGGAAGAGGCGCCGCGCGGCCCAGAGCGTCTCGAGGGACGCGCCGAGGCGCAGGTGCACGGACTCGACGAAGAAGAAGTGGCCGTGGCCGAAGCCCGGCGGATTGGAGATGCCAAAGTCGCTGACGCACGCGCGGAGCCAGACCCGCGGCGCCCAGGCGCGCTCGTGCGCGCGCGCGTCCGCGGAGGCGCGCCCGAAGAGCTCGAGCCGGCACGACAGCTCGACGGAGCCGAAGGAGAGCAGGCCCGGGCCGACGACGGCCGCCAGGAGCTTCGTCAGCAGCAGCGCGAGCAGGTCGGGAAGGACGA